TAAATGGTCTAGTGAGATGTCGGCACCAGGCCGTAAGTTTGCATGAAATAGAATTTTTTGGCTTCATCGGAGGAGTAAACGAATTTTAATATGACATATGGTTTTTCAACAAATTTAAATTTTAAAAAATGCGACCTTACATGTTTTGACTTTTTAATGATCAAGTAATAATATAGCGGTATTATTTTCATGATACACGCTATTTTCTGTGATAATTTTCTCATTTAAAAATATCGGGTTTCCTAAGTTTTAAAGATATGAGGAACATGGGCATCAATTTTTTTTATCACTAAAATCGCCAGGTTTCGTATGAATCGCCAAAATTAGAATGTTTATAAGTCTGTGATATCATTTATTCCAACAAATTGGGGGACTGCCTAGTACTAAGGCATGAAAAATAAGGCAATTTGCAGAGGGACAGAAGCCTCGACTGCTGTGGTCGCTATATTTTGACTTGCTTTCAACGTCGCTGGATGCTGCCATATTGCCGGCGAATATGCGATTTGTGCCCGGAGTCGATGAACATTTAAATTACGCCAGCGTTGTTGCAAAGGTAACTAAAAACTGCTATGTTTTTGAAGTTGGTTGTTTTGTAACATCGCAGCGTAAATTTTTTTTCGAAAAAGGTTCAATTTCGAAGTTGCATTTTGAAATATTTTTCAATTTAATTTTAGGCTTTTTTAAAAGCAAATTGTTATCTTTAGAAAAATTGTTATCACCATTTCGCATAAAACGCGTCTTTTTTGGCACATGCAAAATAAGGGTTTGTTTAACTGTTATTCAAATTTAAGTTCAGGTTTCGAAAATTCTTTAATATTTTTTGGATTTCAAATTTCCAAAGTTTTGAGAGGCGCGAAGTTGAAACCTTTTTTCGTGAACAGTTTGGCATGATTTTTCATTATGCGTTTTTTTTTTTTCTATAAGAAATAAACACGTGCGGAGTAAAATAGCAGCATATTGCTAGCTAATGGTAATTTTTTGAGGCTTCGTCGTACAAAGTTTGTTTAGCAGCATCCTGATGAAAGTTCTAAATTCCTAGTATCCTTCAGTATCAATTTGTAAAAAAGATTTTTTTTTTTTAAAAAGGATTGTTTTTTCTGTGTCACAATTATTTCCTTAGCGAACGCAATCTTTTCAGTTTTTACAACAAATATGTATAAAACATGAAACAACAACTGGAGCAGGCATGCATAGGGATAATTGTCCTCGATGTAAGAGCTGAGGATTTGAGTAACAACCTAGCAAAATAGCGCATATCTGCACTTTGTCACCAAAAATGTTGCATGTTTATTTTCTTTTGTTTTGTAGACAAAGGCAATTTTCGAAGAATTATGGCCGGATCGTGATTTCTTCCCTGCCGTAGCTGAGGAGAATGCTGAGGAAGAGGACGACATCGGCTACAATTCA